AACATTCATTTTTAGATTTCTACGTCAGCAATTGCCAGCATTTTTTAGAGACTTTTTCACTTTTGGAACTTCCATTCAAGCAAGAACTACACGCCACTTTTCTATGCTCCACCAGCCAGAATTAAAGTACTCTGCATGAGTTTGAAACACACCGGCCCAGGAATATGGGAGACGATTCCACAAGAAATTAAAGATTGTAACACTTTGCATCTTTTTAAAAATAAACTGAAAAATTTTTTAATTACGAAAAGTTCTGTTTTTAAAGGATAATAATGTATATGTATATATATGTATATAAGTGTGTACATATTTCATTAACATTGATACATTTTCTCCTATTGACAATTTTATTTTATCATTGAGAAGCTATTTTGAGCTGCACGGTGGCCGAGCCCACAAGAATTAATTTTCTTTTTTTGGTCTCCGAATCATTCATGCTTTTTGTTTTGTTTGATTGAATAAAAGTGATTTGATTTGATTTGTTTATTTATTATTTATTTTCATTCATATATATATTTATGTGTGTGTGTGTATGTGTGTGTGTGTGTGTGTGTGTGTGTGTGTGTGTGTATGGTGGGCGTGTATAATCGTGATTTACTGCCAAAATAACTTCTTTTTTAAAACGTCTGCCGATTAGTTTCATATTGAATGATTTCTCGTTACCTGAATGAATCTTGTGAGAGAAGAAAATTTATTTTTATGTATTTTTCTTATTTTTAAAGCAAGTAGAAAATATATTCTAAAGACGGATTAATTTTTGAAGGGCCATCATTGAAGTGAAGAAATTTTTTGTGTGTTTTGATTGTATTCGGTTGCTGCCTGAGTGATTGATTGAAATTTGTCTTCTTTCCTAAAAAACTACGTCTTCTACACGTACAACTAATATCAAAATGATTCAATTATTACGTCATTAAATAACATTTTTGAAATTGAGTTTGTCTGACTGATTCATTTGAAAACATTTTTAAATACCTAATTATTATATATTTATTTATTTATTCAGTTATTTATTTATTCAATTATTTATTTATTTATCAACAAATGCGTATTAAAACGTTTAGAAACGATTACATCCACAAGCTGAAGGTGTTTGAAAATTTATCATGAACTTCTTAACAAATACTTTACTCGCTGATAGTTTACTATACATTGTAAAATGTATTACTTTCTGATAGTTAAACTTAAAGTGTTTTGACTTGAAAACAAGAACGAAAGAAGTTCTGAACCAACTGTTGCAGGAGCAAAATGACATGCACCCTTTTACGTCCGTTGAGAAGCCAAGTGGACAAGACTTGCGACAATGACGCTTCAAGCAGCCTGCAGTGAAAATTTTTCATTATTCCATGTTTTAGAACTTTACCCGCTTTCAAAAATTATTATTCTTTGATACTTTGCTGTGTTTTTTACATTCAAAATTACCACAAAACTGAAGAGTTAAGTAGAGCTGATTTTTTTTTAAGAATTAGTGGTGTGTAGTTAAACTGACGCAGGCAGAATATTATAGATTAATAAAAGGCTATTAAAAACTGTTGGTCTGTTAAAAATCAACTGAAATTTTTGAAATTATTCTTCGGATTTGAAAATAGTTAACATCATCATCATCATATATATCCTATATATATATATATATATATATATATATATATATATATATATATATATATTTACAATATTCTATAAATTCTACCGAATGTTTGGCGTTAATATGTTTGTAGTTCGTTTTTTCGATTTTTCTCACTAAAGTTTTTTGGTGAACGTTTAGTTTATTAAAATTCAAAATAAACTTATTTTTCGAATTCATGCTGCAAATAAGGCCATATTTCGATTCCGAATGAATCATCATCAGTGCTCCTTGTTGTATATATAGGGAAATATTGACTTTGTCAAGATGAACTTTGACGTTGTAAAAATTAACTTTGGTGTTGTAAAATTGAACTTTGATGCGAATTAGGTGTCAGGTTTCTTTATTGGCTGGTCATCTTCTTGCACTCC